ACCATAATTCCCTCTCAATAAACTATACATTCTTTTGGTTGATAACATTGAGTCCATACGTGTTATTTCCCAATCCACTCACATCTCATAGATACATTCCATTATTTATTAAAATATTTTTATAAATTTCACTTAAATTTGAAAAGTTATAAATGTATTGGATATCAAGTTTTGTATGTATTTAAAGTGATTTATAAACTCCTGTTTCTTTTTTCTGTTATGTATTAGAAGTTAAGATGTTTTTTTTTTAATTTTAGAACAAATGTGCCAAATACTGGCCAGACGATAGTATTTGTCATGACGATCTTGAAATTCTGTTAAGTCATACAGAATCTTGCATGGATTTCATTGTTCGCACCATACTTGTTCGTAAAACAAGTGTAAGTGGAATTTGCAAAATTAAATTTGTTCAAAACTAAATGACAAAATTTTTAGAGAGGAATTGTTAAAATATTATTGTTTATTTTAACAGATAGGAGAAACTAGAAGAGTTAAACATTATCAATTTTTAGACTGGCCTGATCACAAAGTGCCGTCGAGTGCATCCTCGTTACTTATCTTAATAAGAAGAATGAGATCAGAAAATCCAAATTTAGAAAGTCCAATAATTGTACATTGCAGGTATTTTAACTTAAATAATTTGATTTTATAATAGAACTATATAATATGCTTAAGACTTGATTATTACACTTCTGTATAATTTAGTGCCGGAATAGGACGATCGGGTACCTTCATCGTTCTTGATGCATTGCTACAACAGACCGAAAGAGAGAAACAAATTAACATATTAAGTTTTGTGCACAAAATGAGAACTCAGAGAATTGACATGGTTCAAAATTTGGTAATTATATAATGATTTAGAAAATATGTCAGAATAATTAATGCACATGACTTTCAATACAGATTATTTTTGTTCTTTACAGGAGCAATACATATTCATACACGAAACAATACTTGAAGCAGTGCAGTTTGGAAACACTGCAGTTATGGCTGACGATCTTCCTCTTTACGTGAAAAATATTTGTTGTATAAAGGCAGATGAAAAAATATCAAAACTCGAAAGTCAGTTTCAGGTATAATTTCTTACTTGTTTAATTCTTAATATTGTCATATATTGATCATTCAAACATCTTAAATTATAATAGACTGGCCAAAGCATCTGGCATTATCTGCAGAACCTTAATAAAAATGTTGAAATTGGATAAAATTTTGTTATTATTGGATGTATAATGTAGTGTGCATTCATTTATATATATCATAGTTAGCATATGAAATCTTACGGATAGTTTCAAAATTACATGTGAATGGTCTTCCATTTCATAAATATACATGTAGAATAATGAAAAGCCAACTTGTTAGCCAAACTTAAGTCTAAACGATTATATTATTATTTGAACTATTGACCCAAAGTAGAGGTTCAAGTCCCATTCAGGTTCATCTTTTCTTTCAGATTTATAAATATATTCTTTATGTGGTTACGGGGGCAGAAGGCTCCCCTCTATAGTCAGGATAAGAGGTCAATCGAGTGTAAAGGGAGGTGATTGGGTTGACGATAAGGTGAAGGGCGAGATCGAGTAAAGGAGTCTACCAGTTTCTTTAACAAAAAAAAAATAACAATTTATTATACTAAGACTAAATACTACACCCCATACAAATATCGGCTTGATAAACACGCCGATCTGAAAGAACAGGTTAACGCTGCTATTTAACCTCAAACATAACCGCAAACGCGCAAATTAACAGGTCTCTTTGTCAAAGGCTGTGCGGTTTATCGATGTGAAAATACGGAAAACGAGCCGTTATATGCCGAGCAAGAGAGAGTTCACCGCTTTGTCATACCTCGAGAGAGAGAGTTCCGGCGACTACTACCACGGGGGTGGTCCCGAAATTGTCGTAGGTCCACAGGAACGGTCCTTAATATCCACTTTGGCACCACATTTATAGATATAGAAATCGCGACTGGAGCGCTGATCGGGGATGGAACTTCGATGATTGGAAATATTCCCAGTACGGAGGATCAGGGTTGATGTCACCCGTCCGACTTATTTTAAGAGACTCCCCCGAGAGGGGGTAGGAACGGCCTTTTATAGGGTTTTAAGGGGATTTTCCATCACGTGATCGGATGTTCATAGGTTAGGGGTTATAGGTGTTCCAGGGATCTATAACAAACGACGACATTTGAATGCTAACTATCAACCTTTTTGCAAGATGAGATGCAAGTTCTGCAAAGAACAATGGATGTTGCTAGTTATGACTGGAAAGTTTACACAATCCCGGGCAAGATCGTTTTTTCTACTAGGGCGTTACATAAACGAAAGTTTAATTAATTAACAATTTTGTTAATATAAGAACAATATTTCCGTCACCAAAATTCCGGATCTCACAAATGTATATATAATTTTTAATGACTACATCAATGTCAGGTTAAGAATAAACTTATTGACTAATTATTAAAGGATAAATTATAAAAAATAGGAGTAAAATTTATTTATAAGTTCAATTAAAAAGATGATGATAATCTGTAAAAATAATCTGAATATTGGTTCTTATAGATCTGAATTAATAAATCTGAATTTGAAATTAAATTTATTAAATTACACTTCACATATTATATTAGTTAAACAAATTATTTTTTAATTAAAAGTAATAAGATATAAGATAAATTTAAAAAATATTTTGATTATAAAAGAAAATTTATTGGAAATTTAAAGTAAATATAATTGTTTATTGTCTTAATACTTTTAAATTCATAAATCATTAAATTATTAAAAAATACAGAAAATACAGATAATACAAAACATCTTCATCCTTTCCAACCACCGGGAACTAACAAACAGTTTTCCTCTGTGTAAATAGTCTCTGTGAAGGAAGAACTGTCTGTTAGTTCCTGGTGGTAGGAAAGGGTGGAAGTGAAGACGTTTTTGTATCTTCTGTATTTTCTATATTTTATAAATATACCATTTGCCATTTTAAATCAAGTATACATTAAATTATTCACTATAACTATTTTAATTCTTACCTTTACATCACTTAAAATTGTGGGTCCAACAAAATTGCCTTCTTCATAACCAGGAACAACAACATTACGACCATCTAGTAAAATATTAGCACCTTCTTCTATTCCACTTTGCACTAAGTTACATATTCGTTTTTTTGATTCAGGAGAAATGACAGGTCCAACATCAGTTTCAGGTACATGACCTAATAAAACAAGTTATTATTACACAATTTTAAATAATAAACTTCAAAACTTACTTTAAATTTTCACCTGCATTTACTTTAAGCTTTTTAGCACGTTCAACTAATTCTGGTAGCCACTGACGAGCTTCGCCTACAAATACTGCTGTGGACAGTGCCATACATCTTTGTCCTGCTGCACCAAAAGCTGCACCTACTAACTAAAAATAAATTCATTAAAAATTTTTAAATGACCATAATCTTAAATAAATTTTATATGTATCTACACTATAATTATAATCATATTTCAACTGAATTAACTTAATGCACCTTTAATAGTGAGTGAAGTTTAAATAACAATAACATCTTCAACCTGGTTAACAAGCCATCTTCAGGCATGTTGAAAGTAGAATCACCAACTGTTAAAGATGCATTGATTCAGCTGAATAACTGTAGTGGCTAGTTCATTCTTATCATATTTCAATGAATAATACGTAAAAAAAAAATACCAGTAGACATTCTATAACTTAATAATGAATTTTTAATTATTACTTGGTTTAGAGCATGTTCCTTATTAGCATCAGGCATTACAACTCCATGATTTTTTGCTCCCTGGAACAGTTAAAGTTTTATCAGTATTCATTTTCTGTCAAAAATTTTTCAAAATAGGAGATACTCATACCATGTTACATTGTACTCTCTTTCCCTTTTTTGATCCTCTTTCATAGATATATTTTCCCTTTAAAAAAATTATGTATTTATATATATTAAAATGAAATAATCTAAATAATATATTAAAATCAATTATAAATAATAACTTACAGCTTGATCAGATCCCACAAATGATATGGCTTTGATATCAGGATTGTCACAAATAAATGTGACAGCTAGAAATTATTTTAATATGCTTATAAACAATTATTATTATTTTGTATCTATTAGTAAAATTAATAATCAATTCAAAAACTAAATATATTACAAATCAAACATTTTTCAATTTAAATTATAATACACAACCACAGCACACTTATGTAAATTATATCATACCAGACACACAGTGCATGCTATACATGTCTAATGATTAAGATCGAACAGTAAGTGAAATTAATAAATAATTATACAGGCATAGAATTTGTGTTGTTGTTATTTTCCATTTATGTCTTTTAGAACAGCTTATTAATGCTAGGATTTATTGACTTGCCCAAAGCAAAACTGATATTTGTGCAGTAGGAAAAAACCTAAGAATAGGGCCTGATCTAAAGATAAAAAAGAAACAATCTCCAGAAAACATTAATGTTTAAAAAATAATACTTCTCATCTGTTGGTATATATGTTACATGAATGAGATTATTGAAAACATTCTCCTGTATATATACTGTATATAAAAACAACAATCCACAAACCTAATTTTTAAGTAAAGCCAAAGATCTGGCTATAATATTCATATTACAGCTGAAGGATCTTGTCTATAATATGACTATTAAATTATCATATTATAGTCCAATAATTTGAGAGATTGTATTAACTTTCCCATGATCATAGTTTCCACTTTTGTCACTTTTATTAGTTTATTAAAAATTTCATTAGTTTTTCTACTTTCATTTTAATTAAACATTTACCATTATTGATACATTTTTCATTATTCTGTAAATTAATTGTAACATAATTTTTTAGCTACATAACATGAGTGGCAAAAGTGGAAACTATGATCAGAAGAATGTTGTTAACACCATTGATACATACCGATAAAATTTTACTGCAACGTATTGTACAAGTTTTATTTTATTTTGGAGTTAAAATTCAAGCTGAATACTCAAATCTTAAATGCATCTGTTTAGCATTATATATTTAAAATAAACTTATTCTATATTCAAACTTAAACTTGATCTATTTGATATAATTTTTGTTACAATAATCATAAAACCTCTTTAAAAAACAACAAAATTTAAACAATTTCTCTAAATCAATGAATGTGACATATTAACATTTACATATTAAAATTCTGAGGAACTTTATATTGTTGCATTAAAAATATTATTATATCATTCTTCACATGTTACTAAAAAAAAAATAACTTTTCTTTGTAGAAATGAATATTTTATTGAAAATATTAATTCTTTCAGTACATTATATTAAATTTTTTGTCTTTTAGTTTTTGCACATGTTACAGCAATGTAGCAGATTGTAGAATTTTTATATTTAAACCACGTTAGGCATTTACATATTTTTGTTCCATTTCAGTTAGTACTTGAAAATGTCTTATTTTTGGAACATCAACCTGATGAATGTCCTTAATTATGACTGAAAACATTAGTTTTTCAGTTTAATAAATGTTTTTTGCTGCTGCATGAGGTTGTGTGTAGATGATTGAGTGATTTGCCACTGAAGCAGTTACTTTATGAATAATAATAATAATATAACATAATTTAGTAATTATAATTAGTTCTTTAACAAGAATTAAAATATATTTAAAACCAATTATGGACAAATTGAACTTCTTAGTACTTAATTCAAAATGAAATAATTTTTTATTAATAATTTTAATAACTTTCCTAATCTNTTTTTTTTTTTACATTTTCACGGACGATAATAAAATAATTATTTTTGTATAACACATTAATGCCTGATTCAATATTATTTGTCGTGTATTGAGATATCGAGTAATTTTAAAAAATATCACAGAATATGAGAGATAATTACTTAAAAATAAAATAATGTTTAAATATAGGATAATTCTTTTACCTTCATGTTGACCATGTATAACATTTACAACACCATCAGGTAAACCAGTTTCTTTAAGAAGTTCCATCAAAATCATTGTTGCTCCAGGATCTCTTTCAGATGGCTTTAAGACAAATGTATTTCCACAAACCAGTGCTAAAGGAAACATCTATAAAAATAAAATTGTATTAAATGATGATATTTATTTATAGATGTCAGAAAACTACTTGACATATTTAACAACTTTCAAAGTTTTATTTTGCTTCTTACGTTTCTCTAGAAAACCACTGGAATCAAAATAAAGCTTTCAAAATGGTTAAATACATCAAGTGGCTTTCTTCCATCCATAAGAAAATAGCTAGAGCCAGAACAGCTTATAAAAAACACTGTGATCTATTCATTACTTAAAAATGCTAAAGATCCAAATGACCCTAAACTCCTCCTTGGGATCTACTCCATCCTTTTATTGGATAATAGAATCCATAGTGAATTAGAGTACATAGAGTCCATGACACATTCCTTGAATACACATTTAAAGAACATGAAGAATTATTAAGAAGGATGTTTCCACAACAGCATTAGCAGCATATGCAAATGATAATCAGTTGTAAGTCCAATTAGAGTGCATCTCCTTCATCACACCTGGGACAAAGTTCAACATAAACGCTTGGAACTTACAAGGCTAGTAAAAATGCATTAGCTATAAATTATTTTAAAAAATGAACACTATCACGTGTGTGGAAATCTATTTTTGAAGTAGCATAACAGATTCCATGTTATGAAAGCAATGAAGCAAGCAGTGACATCTAATTGAATAAACATTCCTTTCAATTCAAATTTTATAAAAATTCTAAAATTCTATTTTATGTTTATTATTAATTTTGTTGTAAACCTGATGATAGCTAATAAAACTAAAGTTTTCAACTAACTTTATTGAATTGTTCATTCTTTTTCCTGGATTTCCTTCTAATTTAATAAATATTTGACAAGACTACATCTTGTCTCTAAAATCACACTGCACATCTTATAGGTATGAAGGAGTACATGTCAGGAGTTACAATTTTGCACAGAGTATTTGGTGCCCAAATCATGTGCTCACAAAATAAATCAGACTTGTAGATAGTCAGGGAACCGAGAACCGGGTCAAAAGAAAATATGAAATGCTAAGACTGTTTCTACAAACAAGCACAAGTGCAAGATTTGCACATGCATTGCTCACGTTCTCCAAAACATAGTGTTGTCCCAAAAATGGCTTTGCCAGTTTACTTGTTTCTCTTCTTAAGGAAAGGTATCTAAAATATTAATCAGTAGCATATTATGTTTCTTTGAGATCCTAGGCACAATTTTGTTATAAGACACTTTATGTAAAAGTACTTTTTTATATTAAGACAATAATAAAATCTTTAAGTAATAAGTATTTTCTGTGCACTTTTTAAACATTCACTAAATTTTTAGAGGCATATTATCTCTTTGCTATATAATTTTTGAAACCCCTTGAGAAGCAAGGCCCTTGGCATGTGATAGTGCCCCTTAACGTTCAGTCCCGAGTTAACTCGGGCATGTTACATAGCATTACAAAAAATGTGGTCCTTAAGGGAAGTTTTGAAAAAAAATTTTTTTTTGAATTTTTGGAATGTTTTTTAAGTCCCCAAATTTTTTTGCGATTTTAATGCGCCTTTTATAAGGCTCGATTAAGGCTTAATTGTTTTTTAATGGGAGTTTTTTATCAAATTTATTTCATGGTTTCTAAGTTGTAGTGCACGAATTTCGGTAAAGTTATTTAAAGCTGCTTTCTGATGTCAAAAACAACCTCCAATAGTTTTTAAATTTTTTAATTAATATATTTTATTTTATATAAATTTAATTAATTATGGGGGGTCGGAAATTGCAATAAAATTTTTAATTTTAAAATTTTAAAATTACTTAAAAATATAGGTCTAGTTAATAGTCACCCTACTTTAAACCCTTGTACTCCCGAGATGTCTATGAGAATGTCCCGGGAAAACCGACTCCAGCTGTGTTCAAGGTCATCCAGATGTGTAAACAATGACTCATCAGTGTCAAATTTCACAGAAAGGCGAGACAAAGGAAAATAAAATTTGAAGCTTTTTCTTCAAAATTAACACATTTCTTTCATTTTTTTTCAGTTTTAAGTATTTTTTATGCTTAATTACATTATGATTAAAAACAGGTGGGCGTTAAGAGGTTAATATCAAACTGATTTTTTTATCATTTTGGTAAATGAGAAAATATTAAACATTTATTATCCTGTTCTAAATGAGAGCAAATTAAATGAGAACTACATTACTCTGATTATCTTTCAAATCAGTTTTTAATAAACATTTCAAATAGTTAAAGATTCAGGTATTTAAAAGATGAAATTTATGATGTATCCTAAAAGTAAACAAAATTAGTGATTTTTAAACTGAATATAGAACTTTTAAGTTGAGACTTTGTTGTAAAATCTTGACAGAAGCTAATTCTTGCACATAAGAAATACAGAAAAGAGCTACTGTATTTTACAAATTACTGACAAGATTGCAAAACATTTAGAATCTCTTCACAATCACTTGCAGCATTTTATTTATTAGATAAATGTCAAATTTTCATTTTAACATTACAAAGTTTTTCTAGTAGAATTCTGTAATATGAATGTTGTTTTATTATAGTTATGATTCCATACCCACAAAAATATTACCAAATAATTAAATATTTTTGTGGATGTTTTCTCATCTTTAAATAAAATAAATACTTAACATATACAACTACCTTTTCCTAAAAAAGTTAACTGTAATTGTTATTTATAATTAATTGTGAAAGTCAATTAAAATAATTTAATTATAAAAATGAAAATTAATAAATATTTTCAACTTACCCATAAAGGAATCATGGCAGGAAAATTAAAAGGTGTAATGCCTGCACAAACTCCTAATGGCATCCTTATTGAGTGAGTATCCATATCTCTTGAAATGGAAGGTAAAACTTCACCCAGTTGCAAACTTGTTACACTACATGCATGCTCAACTACCTCTGTTTATAGAAACAACAACATTCTGAAAACTAAATATTTGAAAGCAAATAAAACCTATTTTTAAAAATAAAAGACAGATTACTATACACATGTTAATTATATAATTATTATATGATTACAATGTGTACAATAATGTAAATCAATTTTCAATAATTAGCTAAATTATTTAATAATGAAATAAATAACCTAATTTTATTGCCTTCCAATAAACTTCCTTTTCAATTCTAATTTGTACAACAATAACAATATTTTGTTTATAGTATTATATTATATTGGAAAAATGTCTCATCTTCATAATTTTATCATTTAAAATGTATTTTAAGGTTTACATTCATGAACATAAGTTACTTCTATTTGTTGTTATTTGCTATTTCAGTTTTATGAATTTAATTATTAATGTAGAAATCAGCAATGTAAATAGTCTATGATGGAACTACATGTCTGTGTTTCTGAATCTAATTATACCTCATTTAACAAAAGATAGCTTCTTTTATAAGTAAGCTCATCTTTTGTAGGTCTTTATTTAGTAAAGGCCCAGTGAATTTCAGGGGCGTGCCGTGACATTTGACGATAGGGAAGCTGTGTTTCTGTAAGAAGCCGACATCCAGAGACAATCAGTCAATCGCGCGTCAGTGATGGTCTAGGGTCCATTCGTATCATTTATTCGATAAGCCAGTAAAAACCGTAGACTTCTCTAAATGCATTTTTAATATCACAATTACATTCCGAATCGCTAGCCACGATATAAGGGCTACATTTAAAAATAAAATAATAAAAACTTACTCGGTGAAATAAAATATGTGGTGAATGTACCGGTACATACAAAATATTCTTCAATTATATGAATATACTTTTAAAGAAAATTATAATTAAATATAGCTTTGCAAAGAAACGTACATAAAAATATAAAATATTCTTTACTTTTTAAATCTTAAAACAATGCACTTAGTCAAGTAGCTCCCTACGAGTGGCTAATGAATGGAATCGAAGACGGTTGCAGAGCGTGCATGCACGCACTGCCAAATCCCCAGGGTGCCGATACCGGTCAATTCAAATACCTCTTTTGTCGCATCATTAGTATATCTGAAAGGACGCGACAGGGCTGTTGTAGATTTTAAACGTTTCTCACCATAGCTGTAAAAATCTAAATATGTTAAACTTAATAGTCATTTGTTTTCTAACTAATTCGTTTTAGGACCAGGTGTTGTCCACGGAAATTTCCAAAATTTACAACTTTTCGGTCACTCTCGTCGAACTGGAAAAATTTCTGTCTTTATTACATCTAATACAGTATTTCGAAGAAATCAGTCCCCACTGTACTCGGCTATAGATTGGGTCGGTTAAGCTTTTGTTTAAGTAATATTCCGGCTCTTTCATCGGGGTTTTGTTTATGTCCCCAATTCCCTAATCGCTTAATTATTTAACTAATTCTTAAGTAGAAATAAGTCAAAACCAGTTATTTTGTACTCGAATATTTGTAGTCTCGGGAAAAAAGTGGAAAGACAAATTTTTATGACAAACGGATACATAAATCGTAAATTTAAGGAAAATAAATTCTAGAGCTTTTTCTGTACCTCGTGCATCTCTCTCATTCATTAAATTTAGTTGTAAATGATGCTGTCAAAGTAACAGTTAATTTTTTAACATTATACAAGAATTGTACACGTTTTTTTCTACATCCCCTTAAAGATGGGATGTACGAAATCGTAATATCACTGGTTTAACATCGAAATCCGTGAGTAATATAAAATCGGAAAGCGGAATAAATATATCAAATATTTTAATGGATTTTTTTAACTCCTGTCAACTATACAGAACTATCGTAAAAACATACCAGTAAATTCTTATCGGTTGGGTTAAGTTATAAATCTACTCGTTATTCACGTAATCGAAATATCTAGTGGGCAGGCGGCTAACAGCCCAGAACCGGTCCTTGACAGAGTTGTAATTTTATATGTGTGCAGCTTTCACCCAAGGTCGTAGGCTTCCACCGGCTAAACCGGGTGAGGTTGGTGTTCTGTAAAGCGCATGCGCAAATCTGGCTTTTCGTAATCTGAAAATACAGGAGATTACACTCTGCCACTAATATTCTAATATACAATAGCAATTTTTTTTCCACGTGTAGTATAGAAATTTGTAATAAGATACATAATGCGGTTATAATAAAATATTGTGCGATTATTTTCATATAATTAAAATTGATATTTATTTATTTTTTAGAGAATACGAGGGAAGCGGCGCTTCCAACGCTTCTAATGATGGCACGCCACTGGTGAATTTTAACAGTCAGGACATCCAAGAAAATGCCAAAATGTTGTGTGTTCATCTAATGGCTATTTAGAAAATGTTAAATAGAGATTCATTTTCAGAGATTATTACTGTCTTCTAACTAGAAAATTATTTAATAATATTTAAAATTATATATAAATGCTGTAATTAATCTAAAACAAATTTCTATATTGTAAAGTTTAAAAAATGAAGCAAATAAATGATATCATCTACAGTTCCAACTTTATTAGCAAGTGGCAAAAAGTAATATATATTTTTTTGTCAACTTGGACATTAATTATTAATAGGATAATTATACTGGTTTTTAAGTTTTTATGCAAGAATTGAGGAAAAAGTTCTTAAAGAAATAATAATTGGCAAAAAGTAATGTTGCCATGTGTGAACAAGACTAAACATTGAAAGCCAAGCTAAGGCTATTGTTTTAAATGTACAACTGTTTTAGTTGTCAAAATTCATTTATAGCATTGTTATTAGCATGATAATTATCACACCTCATGTCTTAATTGTTAATGAAGTTAACAGTTCATAAAAAATAATTTTGAAAAGTTCATCTTTATTTGATAGACTAAAGCACTAGTGTCAAGTAATATTATTATTACTGGTAGTATTACCTGTATTATGATTTTTATAGTTTTTGAGATTTAAATTATTTCTATGTTCTTATAATTTTTTTTAAGAATTGCAAAAATATAAAAAAAGATTAATATCAATAGCAGAAACAACATAGGAAGCAAAAAAAAACCTCATGATTATTTTCAACTATAATAATGAAAAATATCTTTCAATTTGTAATGGATAAGTTTAAATGTGCAATGTATAAAAATTATTATGAAATGAGAGTTGAATTCTGAATTTTATTATCCAGTAATAAAATTAAATATACACTATATTATTAGAGTTATTTTATTTAAAACTTATTTCATGTATAAACTTTAATTTACTTATTCGTCTTCACACGCCAGAATGTACTAAAAATAACTCTTACTTTTAACCTTGTAACCGGAGTGTAAGAGTTATTTTTAATAAACTTTAATGATAGAATTAATCAAGAAATAACAAAAAAATATTTAAACATGCTAACTAATCAATAAATAAATGAATATATGAATATAAAGTTCATAAAAAAATCAGATGCATTTTTCCATTAATACCTATTATCATTTCATTGGAAGTGAATACATGATAAACCATACTAAGTTATCTAAATATATAAAATTACTTATCCTGACTGATTGATTCATCATCGCCCATGGCAAACTGCTGAACCTAAAAAGGTGAAATTTGGTACACAGTTAGGGTACATCATGGAAACGCACACTAAGAAGGGATTTTTCGAAATTCCCCCGCGGGGGAGAGGGAGAGCATTAAGGCTTAACCAGAAGAATGGCTTCTACTATACTATTTTAGATATGATTTTTTGTTTTTAACTGCATTTAGTCTTCATTGAGTACTTAGGTGTATTAAACCGATAACATTTTAGACATTGTTATAAATGTTTTTATATATATTTCGATTTTTTAACCAAATGTTCGAACCATTTTAAATTCGAATTTTTTATTGCATATTGAATTGATTATAGAACAATTGTAAACGTTCCAGAAAATTGATCAAATTAAAAACAGTTCGTTTGATTCTGAGCGGTAGGTGTTATATAACAATTATTGTGGTTATTGAAATACTGAATATAAATGGTGTTCACTTGCAAAATCTGCATGGGTGAAGTTGCGAGTAACAGCTAGTTAAATACATATGTTAATACATATAATCATCCAATACCAAACTGCACCATTGAACAATTTGAAAACATAATAATGTTCAATTGATTTAATTTAAAAGTTCATAATTATTATAAAAAAATACATATAAAATATAACTTTAAATAACCATATTATATTAAACAAATTGAAATAATTAATAAATACAATTACTTACGTAACCCTCTCAAAACATCACCTTCTGCATCAACTAATGTTTTTCCTTGTTCTTCAGTTATGTTGGCTGCAAGACGTTTCTAAATTCATTTAAATATATTTAATTAAACTGGAAAATAATACTTCTTAATATTTAATTTATAATTTATTTCAGACTTACAGTTTAACTTTAAAATGAGAGTAAAAAGTTTCATATATTTTAAATAATATTAAATTGAACCTAGAGATGGGCAAATTATATCTACAAATACTCAAATACTAAAAGTATTCAAGTATTTGAGTTCTTTGAATATCCTGTTGATAAAAAAATTTGAATATCTGTAATATCATGCCATACCTACAAACAAGAACTCTTCATCCAGAGTTGTCACACAGATAGTGTCAATTATCCCCAAAAAGTGTGTGAAAATTATAATAAAAAAATTTCCCATAATAATATCATTAGTACAAATTACAATTTTAATATTTTCAAAACTCTTAACTTTTTATTGAAATCTTTATTAATTTAATCTATTCATAATTTGTAAGATAACTAATACAGTATAAACTAGTTACAAGGAAGAAAGACATACACAGAACTGTATTTTCAGTTTATATTTCATTTTAAAATCCTAATATAATTGTCATACACTTTTCTTTTGCATATGTACTGTACATATTATGATGATTATAAAGCAAATACTGTATTTATTTACAACCAAACAACCGAACCCATACTCAGAAGAAATAATAATTTATCACTACACACCTCTGGCTGCTGAGAAACATTTATTTGCTAATACACTAACATTTTCAGCCTAAGGTGTGTTTCAAATTTATACAGACACAAAAAGATTTAAGTAAAAACCAAATTTGTTGCATTAAGTGTCAAATGTTTTATTAAAAATAACATGGATTTACATGTTTCCACACTACAAAATAAGAATTTTAATCAAACATTAACATTTTGTCACTGAAAATAATATTTTTGAAAATTTTGTACAAAAAAACTGTTACATATTTATCTAGACAGGCACTCATTTCAGNCAAATGTTTTATTAAAAATAACATGGATTTACATGTTTCCACACTACAAAATAAGAATTTTAATCAAACATTAACATTTTGTCACTGAAAATAATATTTTTGAAAATTTTGTACAAAAAAACTGTTACATATTTATCTAGACAGGCACTCATTTCATGACTTCAATAGAATATTGTTTAGTTTCAAGCACTGAAATATGCAAATTAGCTTACATATCTAAATGTAATACAAATTCTTTATGTTGTTCAATGTTCTAAAATAGGTAGAACTAAAAATTTATCTGATTATGAAAAAGGGCAGATTGATGCCTATAAATTACAAGGCAAGTCAATAAGAGAAATTGCAGCAATATAAATTGTCCAAAATCAACTGTTGGTGATTATTTATCAAAAAGACGTGGCAAGGATGTACCAAAATTCAAGACAGGTCCAAAACCCAAGCTTACATCTCGAGATTGTAGACAAATCATCAAGGTTTGCTCCACAGAACAAACATCAGTAAGAAAAATAAAACAAGAATTACACTTGCCTTGTAGCAGCGCAACAGTGTGGAGAGTTTTAAATAAATCTCCAATGTTAAAATTCAGAAAAAAAGCTGTAATTCCACCACTTTCATTAAAGCACAAAAGTGACAGACTAGATTGGGCACAAAAACACATGACATGGTCCAAAGAATGGATTGAAGTTTTGTTCAGTGATGAAAAAAAATCCAATTTAGATGGTCCAGATGGTTGGAAGTTTTATTGGCATTATTTAAGAAGCAAAAAACAAATATTTTCAAAACGCCAAATGGGTGGGGGATCAATAATGGTGTGGGATGCATTGGATTCAATGGAACCACAGATTTAGCATTTATAACTCAAAGAATGAATTCAGAGAAGTATCAAGGCATGCTTGAAGATCATTTATTGGAAGCTGGACCAAATATTTGTGGACCAAACTAGATCTTTCAACAAGACAATGCCCCTGTGCATGCCTCTAAATCAACAAAAATGTGGTTTAAACATTAAAATATTAATCTGATGATGTGGCCTGCTAGAAGCCCTGACCTGAATCCAATGGAAAATCTTTGGGGGATGATGGTTCGTACAATTAATGCCAATGGAAAGCAGTTTTCCCACAATTCATGATTTGAAGACAGCAATTTCAGATGCTTGGGATAAACTTAAGATTGAATCCCTTCAGAATCGAATTGAAGCAATGCCTAATCAAGTATTTAATGTAATTAAGTTAAATTGTGGTTACATTGGCCATTAAATTGTAAGAAAACTATACAATTTGAAACCTGTCCATAAATATGTAACAGTTTTTTTGTACAAAATTTTCAAAAATATTATTTTAAGTGACAAATGTTAATGTTTGATTAAAATTCTTATTTTGCAGTGTGGAAACATGTAAATCCATGTTATTTTTAATAAAACATTTGACACTTAATGCAGAAAATTTGGGTTTTACTTTAATTTTTTCGTGTCTGTATAAATTTGAAACACCTTAATGCATAGGTCATTCTCAGGTGACTGATTTTTGGAACATCAGTTACAAAACATTCCAAAATAGAACACATTAAATATAGAATGAATGAATGAATGATGATGTATTTATTTAGACACACTTATTTTTATTATTATGGTATTATTATTAGTTTATTACAATGTTATTATAATCTATTATCATTTTTAAAGTAATTATGTTCACTAAATATTTGAGGTATTTGAGATATGGTTAATATTTGAATTCAAGAAAACTGATAATACTATTATAAATATAACTTTCTATATTTATAAAAGCATTAGCTGTGTCCCTAGCATTGTTCAGGCTTTTAAGGAAGTGGAGGTTAGGTTGGATTGGGAAAGGGTGATAAAAACATGGTCCTTGTAACTAAAATGTACATTTATTGACTAGCATATATTTACAATAATGAAACTACAAAACACAAAAACTGCTCAGACTTAAGTTAAGAGAGGTTGGGCTTTAGGGTGATTGGGGACAGAGATCCCCAAAGCATTTTTTCTGGGTGTCAAAGAATATTCACATGCCAAATTTGATGCAAATGCATTGAACAGTACAGAAGCCTTTACTTAACAAACATACATGTTTTGACTTTTATATATAAAGTAGATATATCTACTCCAGCACTGCCTGGACAGAAAGTAAGAACAAAGAAACATTAAAATAAAAACCATAATAATAGTTTGGTTATCTTAGCCTACAATTTTTTTTCTCACTTGTAACTTTGTATTAAGTAATTTTCCTCTTCAAATGCTACTATCCTGCTGGTCAAACAGTAAATGGGCCTGTTGTGGGTGGGGGATGAAGTAAATTTGACCAAAAATAGTTATTGATTCAAGTTTGTTTTGGATTCATACTTTTATAAGAAAATCTGGACCTGAAGAAGATCTGAAGAAAGAAAAAGATCGAAAATGTTAGTCTGTTTTCTACATAAAGGACTTATTGAAGTTAAACAAGAATTCTCAGGTGGTTAATGTACAGAAACTCCAATCCATAAAGAGTTTGTGACATTCTTTTTGATTTCTTTATTCCTTGCTAATAAGTAGATATGTTAGGCTCAAAGACCGAAATCGCTCATTGAGCGAAAAAACAGCCACAAAGCGAAATTCACGTTGTGGCATTTGAAAAAATGGCCACAAAGCAAAATTCACATCGTGGCAGTTGTTAAAATGGTCACAACGCATTGTGACTAACTCAAAATGACCACAAAGTAAAATTCACTTTGTGGCTTTCATAATATTTGACCATTATGCATTGTGGTGATTAAGAAAAGCCATAATGCACTCTGAACGTTAGCTGATGCAACCACAATACAGGATCATACAACACACAATGGTTCATAACTTTAAAATATGGATTCTAGGCTCAAAACATTTTTATTTACAATTTTTAATGCTGAACAACATTAGTTTTACAAGTTTTCCTAGAAATTTAAAGAAATAAAATATATGGAGAAAAATACACATTTCTTTCTTTTGTTTTGCTAAAAAGTGCTAAAAGTCTAACTACATATACTTGTAGGTGCTTGATATACTACTATACATGATAAATAGCAGCTAAAGTTAAAAACTACTGTGTGACAGATTATTATGGTTAAAAGCCACCACACATTCTGGATATTAACTAATAATGAGGTGATGATAAGAAAATAAAACTTTCTTTTTCATTATGATTTATTTATCTTCAATCATCTTATATAAGCAGGTAACAAAATTATTCACCACATACAGAAATTTAACTTGGTTACTTTACAATAATGTTTAATTATTCATGCATTTTATGTTCTTTAAGTGACATTTGCATTTTTATCAATACAGTATATTTTACAGTGACACATTATAAACTCTTGCTTACTTCTAGATGTTAACACGGATGCTGAGCTAAGTGTTAATAAAGTTGAGGGTATGTTCTGAATGTTAATAAAGTTACTGTAGAAATTGTAAATTCATTACGAGCATAAAGTTGATCAAGAAGACTTTCCGTGTTTCCTAACTGATAGAGACCTGATGGATTAATGCTCATAACAACAACTAAAACATTTCTGGGAGCTGCATGTCCCCTATCAACATTAGGCAGCCTAACTAAAACAATTGAACCAATTTCAACTGCAGAAAATTACCCTAAATTGAGAAAACTCTCTAAGCTCAATCTCAAACTTGAATAAAAGAAAAAATAAGACGAACGCTTCTATGACGCAGATTCCTGTACTATTATTGTGAAATAATAATCAGAACAATTCTTAATTCATTGTTTTTGAAAATTTTAATAACTAAAATGTCTTAGGATTTTTAGGCTTTATCAGAGGTATTAATTTACATCTGATATGGAGAGTGCCAATGGCTCAATGGCATGAAAATTGAGAAAAACGAAATCCCACTCGGGTGTAATATACAGTAATACCTTGGTTTTTGTTGACTTCAGTTATTGTTGGTTTCGGATTTCACTGATTGTTTTCGGATGGATTATCGACGAAAACCGAAGTATCATTGTACAGTGTACACCCATGTACCTTTTTTTCTTTTTCTTTTTTTTTTTGTGGTTTTAGGCCCTTTACTGCTCAAAAAGAGCCCTGCACCCATGTACAATACCTAGCATCAATCTGCATTATTTCTTTAGCTTCTGTTGTCCTATCCTAAAACCCTCCAGTTATAGGGAAAAACAGAATGGTTTTAGGATAAAACTTTTTTCCAGCGAAACTTGTGGAGTGATGAGTAATAGCATCAGAACACAGGGTAGTTTTACCCTAGATTTACCCTAAAATATAAGACTACCCAAAACATTACTCTAAGAGGTTGATATTACTCTAGAAAAGGGTAATTACCCTAGAAACATCAGCACTGGTCAAGAAAGAACACAATACAAACTCCGCAAGTGTTTGCAATGCGCCCGTTGACAATTTACAACTTATCCTTCGTATCGTGGTTGCATCAGCTAACATTCAGAACGTGTTATGGCTTTTCTTAATCACCACAAAACATAGTGGTCAAATATCATGAAAGCCATGATACGAATTTCGCTTCATGGTCGTTTTTTTCACTCAATAAGCCTAACAGATATATTTAGAAAAAAAATTTTAAATATTAATTATGCATTTAATCTTTTATATTAAAACAATATTTATGTATAAAATAAATAATACAATCCCCAATATTTAAAATAAGTAAAAGTTTCTTAACAATTAAGTGACATGATAATATGAAAACTAAAAAGGAGAGGGGAGGTAAAGAAGTTACAAATATTTTAAGCAACAGGGGCAGAACCAAACCTAGCTCTGCCGATTTAATAATTAATTTAACAAAAAAACTAGATATAAAAATATAAAAGAATAGCTTTAAAATATTTAATTAAAATACTAGTAACATAATATGTCATAGCTGATTTGAATTAATGAAAATTTCAGTTATGATATTAGATGTTAAGGTAAAGTGTAGATGTATATAAAAACAAATGATGAAATCGTTTCCTTACAGTTGAAACTGATAACAAATTGATAGATTATATCTAATTGAGATTATGCTATTAAATTTTTATCATTATCAACAATAAAAAAAATATGTTTTAATTATAAGAATATCTTCTTTATTTATTTCTAATTTCTATATATAAATAATTGATCATACAACACTGCCAACATTTTTTTTTAATCATAAAATAATTAAAATTTAAATTATTGCAGTTTACATTTAAATATTCAGTTTCAATATTCAAAATATTATTTCAACAGTAAGTTACTTTTAAAAACTTAATAGTTATATTGTTTCACATTTTTCTCAAAATTTGTGAAACAATATTACTATTTTAATAAATTTGATAACTTTTTATTAGTCTAATTATAATTAATCTACATTAAGACAAAATATAATTAGGATACTTTAAAATTTACCATATTTTCTTTAATAAGATGTTGATACTTAAACATTATCTGCTGCCGTGATAAAATTGAAGTATTTGACCATGATTTAAAGGCTTCTTTAGCTGCAGAAACTGCTGAAAGCATTTCATTTTCAGTTGCTTTAGGTACTCGTGTTACTACTTTGTTTGTAGCCTAAATAAAACAAATAAATCTTAAATTCTTAAATTTAATCTAGTTACTGAATACATCACTAAAACAATTTTGTTTATAAATTAGAATGAATCTAAAAATCTAAAATATAATTTATCTTAAGATAAATGTTTTTCAAAACTTATTATTTGTTACAAATATTTTAAAATTTAAAACAAAGAAATACGTGAATGAAATTTCCATTGTGAATAAATAAAATGACATCTTATTTATCTAAAAGAATCTTCTGAAATTACATTATTTTCATAACCCATTAAAAATATGTTTATATGTTATGAAATAAACAAACTGCTGCATCAAACCATAAATATTTAAGTTTATTTATAAAAAGAAAAGTCAAATTTTGATTCCATCAAAGTTTATTTCTAAAATATCATTAAAACAAGTTGTAGAAATCCAATCACTTTTAACAAAAAGTGATAAACTGAAACTTTTGATAGTACTTTAGTGATTAATATTATTTTAAAGATTTACAAACATATTTTCAGATCATAACATAATTCTAATAAAAATATAAGCAAAATCTTTGAAAACAGTATAAATAACTGTTATATTCATTGTAGTCATTTCTAACTTTGTGTCTAATCTAATATTTTTCCCCAACGAAAAAGTTACTCATCATCTTTTTAATGAAAGTATAATCCAAAAGCAAGATTCATTACCTCTCTAATTTTAAATAGTAAAACCAATGCCATCTGAAACTGTTAAAAACTGTTGTATTAAAATATGGACCATTTTAATAGTAAGCCTGTAAATGAGTTTATCTTTTTTCAAAAAATAACCTTCCTTGATATTTATCCAGGATGAGCCATATGGGGTGGCATGGATTGGTGTTTACCATCCTATGCTCTTCTTCCCTTCACTCTCTGCTTGCCTACACTACTACCCATAAGTTTAAAAGTAAATGGCATAAAAAAATTTGCAAGCAATTGACTAATGAATGAAACAGATAACAGGCACATCAAACACAAATACCAGGTTGCGTGAGCATCCATGAGGTAAAAGATTTAAAGAATAAAATTTAATATTTGTTCCTGTTTAGCCTTTTTTTCTTTATTGAACATTATAATATAATGTGCATTACTGATTTGCATATGACATGCAAGAAACTGCCATATTGATGTGGCTGCTTCTTACACAATAATGTGTTGCTAGTTGTATTGTGTTTTACAGTAGCCTACCTACATATGCTAAGTCCAAACCATCAGCATGAGAGTGACTCATACTCAGAAATTTATGACTACTTTCCTGTTTACCATGTAAATTATTGACTATCTACTTAATAACTTGCCTAATAGATTAATATGAATAAAATTAAAAGTAATCATTAGTCAATTTTATGACATTTCTGAGTTCCTTACATTCATTATTAAACATAATATACAATAAAGTATTTCTTAAGTAGCTGATGATCTCTAATAATATGTAGATGCTAAAACAGTCTGCATATCTCATTATACAATAATAATGAGAAATAGTGTATAAACCAAAAATAATGATATCAGTTTAAGGAATAAATTGATACTGGAGTTGTTTATTGATATGTATTTCATTAGATACACAAATTGTATATGATACTTAGCACAGTATTGCCATACTAGCATTATTTGGATAAAACAAAATAAAATGCATATTTTTCTTACAATTCCCCAAGCTAAAATTATTTTTGCTTAATAATTTATGGTATAGATAATTTTGTGTGTTACTTTTTTTCAATCACTAACTCCATCATAATACAATTACTAATAAAACAATTAATAATGATAATTTATTTTGGTTGGTTTATGTTAATATATTTTTATTTTTTCAGAATATCACTAAACCCTCCTGAAGGAACCTAAAAATTATTTATACTAAAACATTTTCAGACATCAGTAATTTAAACTTACAGACGCATCAAAAAACCAGAATATCTGACAGTAAAAACATATTTTAAGAACTAAACTAACATTTTTCAACTGTCTTAATCGATCATCCTTAGGTTTTAAGTACAGTACATTCGACAAGCAAGAGAACAAAAGTAGATTGTATTCACATTCCCCTGTAGAATGTATTTAAAATATTCTGGATTTTTCATATGTTTGTATGTTTATGCACAGAGGCACCTGCAGGCTATAAAAGAGGCATATATATGCCTCTTAACCATATACAGTGGAACAGCGCTTAATGAGCACCTCGCATAACGAGTGTTTTGCATAACAAGCAAATCAAATTTTAAAAAAATGACTTGCTTAACAAGCGAAGTTTCGCATAAAGAGTGACGAGGAGAGAGGAAGTCCTAGATTGTGCATATGCTCCATCATGCTATTATCTGTGATTTTTTTGTTTTCTGCAAATCGAATTTGCATTTCAGGTTGGTTCATTTCATGCTAGAAGAAAAGATGATGATGATTCACATTCCTTAACAATGTATATTGTATAATTTTCTTTGAATATACGTTATACATAAAATACTGTATTTACTCGTATATAGGACAAGGTGTGACTTTAAAGATCAAAATAAAGAAAATTAGATTTATTAATACACAAATAAATTATTATCAAATGCATGTATTAAGGCAAACAACCATGTTTTCTTGATGCTATCACCTTTTGTCTACTCAGACTTGCCCTCCGAAGCTTCGTTATAATTCTCCTCTTTTTCACTCTTACTCCACAAAGCATCATCCTCTGATCCATTGAGTAAATTTAAAATTCAGTATTTCCCAAATGACTTCTATCAGCTTTTGAAGATTGCTTTTCCACATACCCAATATCCACCTAGCAAAACCAAAAGATTATAATGCACTTGACAGGAAGAAGTTTGTTTATTTTTTTTTTTTTATGTAATCATAGGAAAAAGTTTATTTTTAATGATTCAGAATGTACAATTATTCATTAAAAATACCAATTTAACAAATATGAAATAACTATATTTATAATCATTGCTAAGTAATCGGCTATTTTCAGATAATCTCTTTAAAAGCGACATTCACCTTGACCTCCATAGCACTCTGCTATAATGGCAGCGTGAACTATACACGGTTCACAAAAATTATTGCAAAAAACGCAAAGGATCCTTTGTTTGCGCATATAAGATGACCTACGTTTTCAAAGCAGTGAAAAATGAATAAAAACCTTGTCTTATACACAAGTAAATACGGTATTTAAGTATTTTTTTCAGCAAGGAATGCATTATCATATTTTACATTAATTTCTATGGGAAAAATTGTTTTGCTTAACAAGTGTTTTTGCATTATGAGTAAGGTTCTGGAACGAATTATGCTTGTTAAGCAAGGTTCCACTGTACATATATATATAATGGTGTTCAAAATTAAGAGAATTTGCAGCACATTTTGTCAAATTTCTGAAAATAAAAACCTAATGGCCAAATTTTAATGAAATTTGATATGGATACTAAGTTATATCATTCCACTATACAACAGTCATGATCATCAGTAAGGCTCATCAGCACAAGAATGTCCAAAACCAATGTTGCAAGATCAAACATAAAATGATTCTAATAATGGGTATGGTCCCCTCACAGTCATACAGCTCTCACATTGCGACGTCATGCTAGAAACGAGGCAGCTGATGAGTCCCTGTGGCAGTTGGTCCCACTCCTGCAACAACAGCAGTGTTTTCAGCTCCTGGGTGGTTCTCAAAGGAGAATTGTGAGCTGCATTTTTCCTCCCAAGAGCATCCCAGACATGTTCAATATGGTTTAGGTCAGGAGATCTGGCAGGCCAATCCTTCCAGCAAATATCCTCACTTTCAAGATAATCATCAACTAGGTGAGCCCTATGTGAATGAGCATTGTCATCCACAAAAATGAACCAAAGGCCAACTGCATCCCTGAAAAGCTGAACATAGATCTGCAAGATCTCATCCCTATACTTCTCAGCAGTCAGGGATCTTCTGTCAAACACATGAAGAGGTGTGTGGACGGACATCCAACATGATGCCTGCTCAGACCATGAGACTTCCACTGCCATAGCAGTCCCTTTCTCAGATATTGGAGGAAAGGTATTGGGTCTCAGGTTCTCTCCAGATGAAGGTGTGTCAAGAATTTGTGTCCAGACTGAATTGCAACTCATCTGTGAAGAGAACGGTACCCCACCTCTGGTGCTGACATTAGCCTTGGACCAGACTTGGTCCAAGGCTAATGTCAGCACCATGCTAACTGTGCTCTTGTGTGCTGAAGTGAGCAGGATGCAAGCAGAGAGTCTTCTGGCTAAAAGCCCTTTCTCATGAAGCCTCTTGGGAAACAGTAACCCTTGAAACTCAAGTTCCAGTGGTGGCATACAGCTCATGAGATAGTTGTAAAGCTGTAGCTGTCCTGTGGCACCTCGCTGAAAGTGCCAAGTAACAATCTTCATTAGCCATCATGGCTCTTGGACAACCTTGCCCAGGTCTTCTCGATATGGATCCAGTGTCCTTAAACTGTTTCCACAAATTGCAGACAACACTGGGTATTACATTAAACTCTGTAGCAACCTTGTCTGCCTCCAATCTACCCATGATTCTCCACCTCATTCTGCCATCAAGACATTTGTGACTACTCATTTTACCTGATTGCTTGTGAAATTGAACCAACTCTTGCAAGAAAAACAATGAATGTTGCCAAAGAGTATGAGCAAACTAATCACAAAGCCACAAGTGCTTTTCATTCCCTCTGCTATCAAAGCTCTGTCCACATGCACAAGTTTATGTACTCAACACTAAAAATTTGCATTCTTATTTAACATCATAATTTGTACTTTCAGTTCATTACTTTTTGTTAAAATTGACAAAGTGTGCAACAAATATATATCAATGCTTTGCTTGTTAAGATGGATTTTACTGTGCAACAAATTCTCTTAATTTTGAACACCAGGCTCTTAATTTTGAACAAATGCTGTTAATTAAGACTCTATATATATATATATATATAGTCTTAATTAACAGCATTTATCAGGGGATACCTTTATACCTTTAATTTAAATAATTTAATATAAATTATTTAAATTATTATTAGGGATATCTTTACATATATAAAGTAAAGATATTTTTTGATAAATGCAGTTAATTAATCCCTTAATGATACCACATCTCAAAATTGCATTAATCAAATTCAGTGGTACTTCCAGTACTCAACTGAACAATCACTATCTGCTGGAACAAATTTTCAGTTAATGACAAATATTTTTATTTTTATTTTGTTATCTGTAAAAAAGTAGTCTATGATATATTTAAAAATGAAATGAAACCTTAGAGCTGCCTTGGGAATTTGTTGCAATGTTTGTTTTTCAAGTAACTGACATCTGCTTTTTGAATATATTTCTATAACAAAAAATTATTATTGTCTTCAGCATATGCAAGTTTAAATTTCTAATGACATGAAGACGTGTCAATGTAAATAATTTTTTGTATTTATTTTTAAAAAATTGTCATGATGAATTCACATTTACAAAAAAATATATTTCTTATAGACTTCACATACAGGATGAGTCCATATCATTCAGTCCTTTCAAATGTTATTGAGGTAAACTTTTTGTAAATGTGAATTTGTCATGACAATTTTTTAAAAATGTATTTATTAATTTTTATCATTGTGCCACTGCTAGAGGACTATTTAACTTTTTTGCATTTAGAGGTGGACGAGTAGCCTACAATAAAAGACCGACTCTGCCATAAAGTCGTTATGACCTCAATAGTGTTTGAATGGACTGAGTGATATGGATTGATCCTGTATGTATAGTCTATCAAGAAATATATTTTTTTGTAAATTTTTTGTGTTCATCGAAGGTTTGCTATATAGTATGATTATGGGATTATTGTTTTTTATACTGTCTTGGATATCGTTATTTTTATTTTAGTTTTCACTATTATGAAAATGATATGAAATGCAAAATTAGTTTAGATCACAATTTCTTATATTATAGCATATGGATTTTTGATTTTTATGATTTCAAATCTTTAAGATTGAATTTTTAGAATCTGAAAATGTAGAAATAAATTTATAATGATTTAATTCATTCTAAATAAATTTTCATTTTGTAAATCTCTATTACTTATTTTTAAATAATCTCTATTTTAAAATAAGACTGAATTAACATTTTAATATTTTCACTTTCTAAAATACTGTATTAAATCAATAATTTTAATGTAAATATACAAAAGATAAGGTATAAGTGGATAAGTTTTTAAACAAAAATTTTTTTATTTCAAAAAAACAGCAGTTCAATTAGTCATATAAAAGTTAAAATTTATAACATAACTGTTTAATTCAAGATATAATTTAACTTATTTCCAGATTTAAAAACATTTAATAATAAATGAAAAGAAATACATAAAATGCTTTATTTATTTATATGGCTTTATGAATTGAATTCATAAAAATATTAACCATTTAATTTTTTAGTATATTATTAACAAAAGTTGAATTCATAAAATTAATGTTTTCCGTATAAGTCTTGATTTGTTTCTTTGAATAAATACTTGATTTATATACTATACTCTACACATTAATTATTATTTATCTATATCTGTATCTATATATATATATATAAAAATGGACATGTATGTCCATATATTTCACTTTTTCGCCAAAACTACACATCGCACGTGAATGGTGTTTGTATGTGGTGGTAGCCCCAAGTCTCCATTCGTGCATAGGGGTGGTTGCGTCTCGATAGCTATAAGGGTGCGGGAGATATGAGGCTGAAAGTGGTTGAAAGTGGCTTTCTATTTCGAATGTTTTGTTCGAATTTNTTAGAATTTCATTTAAATATAGGGCCTATTAAAATTTGTTTTAATTTATAATATAGAAATAAAATGAAAGTTAAGCTATTTATTTTTTATTCTTTTAATTTTTTAATGCCAAGTTTATCTTAAAACATGTAACTTATCCAACTGTTGTTATAGATAAACTACGAATTCCTTCTCCGTATTATAGCTTGAATGCAGCAGTGAGTAACGGAATGAATCACCACAAGCCATAGTCTGATGTAAAGGAAGAACGAATCTAAAAAAAACACTGAGAATATTTTAAAAATGTCTACAACACGGAATAAAATAATTTCCAAACTATATTAATAAATATAAATTGAAAAATGTGATTCCACCACTCGTATTTTGTGTATTTGTAGGTCTACAATATAGTGGAGCTCTGTTCTAGTTATAAGTAAGTCTACAAGTGTTTCTATTGTTTTTTTTAAAGATTTACCTGATTTAAAATAATATATAAATTATATAAATAAAGTTCATATGACAATGTCGAATGATCAGTTACGTGAAAACATCAGATAATACAGCGATAAAACATAAAAATGCTGATTAATGTTCACTTAAAACTTTTATTTAGTTATCTTTAACACGTCAGTTTTCGTGGTGTTCACCTAAAAAATTTCGTTTGTTTCACTTTTACTGTCGAGCTGATTCGTATCTACGGGAGGGGCTGTGAAATGAGGTGGCTCGACTTTGTCAGTAGTGTCCATATGCAGTAAGCTAAACTGTATATAGGCTATGCAATATACGCTTTCGCTTTCATCGCGTAAACTTAGGCTACTGTTACTTATTTCTACACTTAAACCGTAGCTAGTAGACGTAGTGCTGGCTAGAAAATAAAATCAAACCGAAAAATACGTGTCACAGTTTTTCAGCTTTCTCCTCCATCTCCCAAAATGATTTATTTCAAGCTAGGAGACTGCTGTTGAGAACAAAACTTTATGCAA